TCTCGAACTCCTGACCTTGAGCAATCCACCCGCCTTGGCCTCCCAGAGTGTTAGGATTACAGGGGTGAGCCACCGCGCCCGGCCAGAGGTTTGGTTCTTATTAGAATACCATTGCAGCTGGTATACTTAGTGGAAAAGAATACTGTTTGTTATTTACTTGTGTGTACTTTAAAATTTAGAACCACTCTGAGAATTTAAAGTATTGTGACCTTTTTAGTTAGGTTAAAAAATAATCTGATCTTGACCACTATTTTGCCTAACAGGAAGCCTGCAGACCTGCAGAACTTGGCTCCTGGGACCCACCCACCATTTATAACTTTCAACAATGAAGTCAAAACGGATGTAAATAAGATTGAGGAATTTCTTGAAGAAGTTTTATGCCCTCCCAAGTGAGTATCAAAGAAAATATGTATGGAAATATTGCTACCTCTTTGAAGCTTTGTCTTATTTGTACTTAGAGATCTTTCTCCTGATGATATTTAAGTTAAATTCTAACAGCATTAATTGAAATGACTAGGACTGTCTTCTAAGTTTCTTATAATTTCTACTACATAGATGTGAGAGTTGCTTCTGGCTAGGTCAATAAGCCATGCTAGGAAAGGTGGGAATCTGTGCTGCAGAGTGCGTGGTGAAAGCAGATTTGGGATGTGTGTGATAGGTCAGGAAAGACTGGTTATTTGTGGGCTATAGATCCCAAACTGAGAGAGAATTTTCGGGAGGAGAGGGGATATAGAAGGACACAATTCAGCTGAACCCAGCCAGAATGTCTAAGCAGGAGTATGGTACAGGTGGGATTTGCTCTCAGTCCATTTTAAGGGTAACTTTCTAAAGCTATAATCCAAAGGAGTTGACTTTTCATACTATGTCCCTGGGATTCAGAGTTTTTATTTACTTATTTCTTGAGGTGTTCCAGATCTCAGGGTCCTGCATGTATGGTAATGATAGCTACCTAAATTGCAAATATACAGTTTTGCATCATACTGTAATCTTGGCATAGGTTCAAAGTATTAGGCTTTTCTAGTTTCATTATCCTGAAAATTGACATGTTTCTTTTCCTTTGATCCAAACCTTCCTTGCTAGTTAATTTGACTTTTACTTTCCATGTCTAGATATATTTCCCAGGAATGGGATTATTGGGTCAGAGGGTTCTAAAACAATTGCAGGCATACCTGGGAAATCTTATGGGTGTGTTCCAGACTACCACAATACAATGAATGTTACAAGAAAGTGAGTGACACAAGCTTCTTGGTTTCCCAGTGCATATAAAAGTTATGTTTATACTATACTGTAGTGTATTAAGTATGCAAAAGCATTGCTGCTCGTACTTCTAAAAAATGCACGTATCTTAATTAAAAAATACTTTATTGCTAGAAAATGCTAATGATTATCTCAGTCTCCAATGAGTCATAATCTTTTTAATGATGGGGAGGGTCTTGCCTTGGTGTTAATGTTTACTCACTGATCAGGGTGGTGGTTGCTGAAGGTTGGGGTGGTTGTGGCAATTTCTTAAAATAAGACAACAAGAAGGTTTGTTGCATTGATTGACTCTTCTTTTCATGAAAGATTTCTCTGTAGCATGTGATGCTGTTTGATAACATTTTACCTACAGTAGAACTTCTTTCCAAATCAGAATTGATCCTCTGAAACCCTGCTGCTTTTATCACTAAGTTATGTAGTATTTTGAAAGGAATCTTTTTTTCTGAGCAGTAGGTCTCAACACTGGACTTAAAACATTTAGTAAAATGTGCTGTAGATAAATGGCTGTCCTTCATGCTTTATTATTCTGTTTACAGAGGACAGGCAGAGTAGATTTAGCATAATTCTTAAGTGCCCTAGGACTTTCAGAATGGCAAATGAACATCCACTTCAGTCTAACTCACCAAATGCATTAGCCTCTAGCAAGAGTCAGCCTGTCTTTTGAAGCTTTGAAGCCAGGCGTTGACATCTCCTCTAGTTATGAAAGTCCTAGATGGCATCTTCTTCCAATAGAAGGCACTGTCTCATTGACATTGAAAATTTCTTGCTTAGTGTAGGCACCTTGATCAGTTATCTTATCTAGATCTTCTGGATAACTTGCCACAGCTTCTATTTCAGCACTTGCTGCTTCACATTGTACTTTTATGTTACCTAGACGACTTCTTTCCTTAAACCTCATGAACCAACCTCTGCTAGCTTCAAACTTTTCTTCTGCAACTTCCTCACCTCTCTCAGCCTTCATAGAATTGAAGTGAATTAGGGCCTTGCTCTGGATCAGGCTTTGGCTTAAGGGTGTTTTGTGGCTGGTTTGATTTTCTATCTAGATCACTCAAACTTTCTCCCTATCAGCAGTAAGACTATTTTGCTTTCTTATCATCTGTGTGTTCACTGGAGTAGTGCTTTCAATTTCCTCAAGAACCTTTCTATTGCATCCACAGCTTGACCAGCTGTTTGGTGCAAAAGGCCTGGCTTTTGGTATATCTCAGTTTTCAACATGCCTTTCTACTGTGCTAGATCATTTCTAGTTTTCTATTTAAAGTGAGAGACATGTGACTCTTTCCTTCACTTGAACACTAACGGCCTCTAAAGGGCCTAATTTCAATATTGTGTCTCAGAGGAGAGGGAAAGAGACAGGAGAATGGCTGATTACTGGAGCATTCCAAAGCAGAATAGTCATTTTGAATAATGACTTTTGGGGACCTGGAGAAGTGGCTATAGCATGGTGTGCAGGGTTGGAGATGGTAGCAGGAAGACTGCTAGGAGAAGTACGAGCAGCAATGCTTTGGCCTACGATGAGCCCATCGTCTGTTGTGAGCAGAATTGTCCTCTGGTTAGCAATCTTATGCTAAGCCTAAAATTTTATTTTCTTAATTCTTTTTTATACTAATTCTAAAATCTTGTCTTCTGTCTTCCTTCCTGTTCTTCTAAAAGCCTGAAACTTCTCTTATCTCTTTCTGGGAGTCCTAACCTTCCTTTCATCTTTAGTAAAATATCTCCATACCAACATTAAAAAAACTATATCTTAGTGCACATATAAGAATAACGTTTATTGGATGTCGGGCGGGGGGAGGGGGGAGGGAGGAGTAGGGGACGGGTATATGCATACACAAAGCGTGCGATGCGCACCATCCGGAGGATGGACAGGCTTGAAGCTAGGACTTGGGGGGAAGGGGGGGCAAGGGCAACATGCATAACCTAAACATCTGTACCCCCATAATATGCTGAAATTTAAAAAAAAAAAAACCGTATCTTGATTTTTTTCCTCCAGGCCATGCATATAATTAGAATACCAATAAATCAAATCTAGGATCTTTGTAAAATGTAAATTGAAGCTTTATACACATCAGTAAGGGACTATCATGAACATGTGTTCAACTTACAACTTTTGAAAGATTGTTGCATCATAGAACCAACTAGATCCCCTTTTATTCTTAAAAGTCTGTCAACTCTGACTAGAGTTCCACATTTGCCAACTTGTTCTCAGACACTAATTGAAAATGAGCTTCCTCTCATGTTACAATAAATCATTGTATCAACATTAAATTATAGAGAAGCAGTTTGAATGACTTACTCATTCTCTATGAACGGAACTATATTTTTTAAAGCATTATCTGAAGTACTTATTATGTAAATTCTTTCAAGTATGTTTAAGTTTTTAAAATCAATGTGCTAACACAGCAGTCTCCAACTTTTTTGGCACCACAGGGACTGGTTTCCTGGAAAACAATTTTTCCACGGACGGTGGGGTAGGGGCGAGGAGCTCAGGCAGTGATGTGAGCGATGGGGAGTGGCTGTAAATACTGGTGAAGCTTCATTAGCTTGCCCATTGCTCACCTCACCTCCTGCTGTGCCCTGCCCCAAGTTTCATGGAAGACAATTTTTGCATGGGCAAGGGGGAATGGGGGTCTGGAGCTCTGTGGCCTGGTCCTGGTCCTTGGCTCAGGGGTTGGGAATCGCAGTGCTAACACATATACCACTTCAGTCAAACGGATATTTTCTTATATTGTCTTCTAGTCTTCTTCAACAACAAAAATCAACAATTTTCATTATTCCTTGTTATTTCTCTCAGAGGGAGTAGACATTAAGAGAAGTAGTAGAGCCAATATCAAAATATTCTGGGTTCTTGGCATCTAATGCTCTGTAAGACATCACAGCTTTGAATCAGACCTTGAAAATAAACATTTTCATATAGAAATTTCGGTCCTATTTTATTTAAGCATATTTATAGAGATACTATAACCAGAGATGGTCTTTTCTTTCAGTTTAAACACTTGGAAATCTTTGTTATGAAGTGTTTACCATGTGCTAAATTCTCTTTAGGGGTGTTTTCTTTGTTTTTGTGTTGTAGTTTATATTCTGAAGAGAGATTCTAAATTTTTTAAGTTTTACTTTAAGTAGAAGGGATTTTTGATGCTGCCAATGCCTCTGCTGTTATTAACACTCAAGTGCTACTTATGTGCCATGCACAGTGCTTTGTGGATTATTTTGTGGATTATCTCAATTAATCTTCACATAAACTTTATGAAGAAATTTAAGTAATCCAAATAATTTGTCCAAGGTTTCACAGTTAGTGGTGGCAGAGCTGGGATACTTCCAAAGCCACGTCAATATGACTTCAAAAATCTGTGTTTTCTCTCTTCTCTGCTTTCTATTTTTCATTTCATTGGGTTTAGCTTTTATAAAATTGTTAAAATGTTAAGGCTTTAATTGGGATTGTGCTTTAGTGAGCACAAAATTTAAGGCTAGCTCAAGTTTAGAGATAAGGATAGGAGAGAAATCAAAGATAGTTTACTTGACTGTGAGCAAGTGGGACTAGACTGAAGGTGGTTATCAAACTTAATTCAGTGAATCCTTTAAAACAGTGGGTGAGGCTTAACTTCAGATGAATTTTTTTTTTTTTTAAACATACTTTATTTTATTTATTTATTTTTTTGAGACAGAGTCTTGCTCTGTCACCTGGGCTAGAGTGCCGTGGCGTCATCCTAGCTCACAGCAACCTCAAACTCCTGGGCTCAAGTGATCCTCCTGCCTCAGCCTCCTGAGTAGCTGAGACTACAGGCTCATGCCACCATGCCCAGCTAATTTTTTCTTTCTTTTTTTTTTTTTTTAGTTGCCTGGCTAATTTTTTTTCTATTTTTAGTGGAGACAGGGTCTTGCTCTTGCTCAGATTGGTCTCAAACTCCTGACCTCAAGCTATCCTCCCACCTTGGCCTCCCAGAGCGCTAGGATTACAGGCGTGAACCACTGTGCCTGGCCAACTTTTGCTAATGTTTGTATTATAACTACAGGTTTTAACGGGAACTTTCTCTTTCTTCTCCTCCAAGGAAAGTATTTTTGTATTTTTCTTAGTTGAATGAAGGAACTACTTTGCCAAAAAGCTCTGAAACTTGGGTTTTTAACTGAAGTAGCCCTGTATATTTGGCCAATTTACTGATGATAGAATAGAAGGAAGCTAGATAAATTTGGAATAGAGCTCTATAAAGCATTATTAAGCCTTTTTTAAAAAATGAGAAATACAATAAAAGTATTTATAAGGAAAATTTAGTAGGCTGTATAATCAGCCTATATTTTTATATTAACATAAGACAGGAAAAAATATCTGATATCTTTCCCAAAATCATAGAAATATTCTTAGCTAGTCTACCATTAAGAGAGTCTATGATACAATACAGAATAAAGAACTAAAAGCTAAATACCCTGGGTGCTCATATCTCTTCTGTCATTGACAAATAGCCTTTTATGAATTATTTGCCTGTCTTGTTAAATGTTAAAGTGAATGCTCACAATAATTGAAAATTATTGCTTGATCAAGCTATTTGCTGGAACTAATAATGGATGAATTAAAATGTAATGTTTGGGGAAGATACAAAAAAATTTGGACTGACTAGTTTAAAATTTGATTCATCTTTTAGAGAGAATCTGATCTGTAATAGGAAAAAAAACTGCACCTGTGGACAAAATATCTGAGTTTTAGTTTGTCCATCTTTTTAACTAATTAACTTTGGGGCCAAGTGTATATGCTTTCTGGAACATAATTTCCTTCCTTTTAGGCAAAATGAGAGATTTGAGGTGAATATTGTCTTTTAGCTATAGTATTCTTTTTAATTTATGTAAATATGTGGAGTACACAAATTTGTTATATATATGTGTAGTGATCAAATCAGAGTTTCAGGGTGTGTACCACCTGAGTATAGTACATTTTTATTAAGTATAGTCATCCTACTCTATTATCAAACCTTGAATTTATTTCTTTTATCTTACTATGTGTTTATACCCTTTAACCCACTTCTCATTTCCCCTACCCCTGCTGACTTTCCCCAGTCTGTTATTTTTTCATTCTCTACCTCCATGTGTTCAAATGTTTTAGCTCCCACATATAAATGAGAACATGTGATATTTGTTTTTTTGTGCCTGACTTATTTCACATAAGATAATGGTCTCCAGTTCCATCAGCATTGCTGCAAATGACACGATTTCATTCTTTATGCCTGAATCATATTCCATTGTGTATCTATCATATTTATCCATTCGTCCATTGATAGACACTTAGGTTGATTATGTATCTTACCTAATATGAATTGTGCTGCAACAAACACGCGAGTACAGGTAGCCTTTGATACACTGATTTCTTTTTCTTTAAGATACCTGGTAGTAGGATTGCTGGATTGAATGGTAATTCTATTTTTAGTTTTTTTTGTTTGTTTTTTGTTTTTTTTTTTGAGAAATCTCCATATTGTTTTCTACAGTGGCTGTACTAGTTTACATTCCTACCAGCAGTTTTATATTGTTCCCTTTTTCCTGCATCTTCTCCAACATCTATTATTTTTTGTCTTTTTAATAATAGCTGTTCTGACTAGAGTAAAATGTTATCTTATTGTAGTTTTCTTTTGCATTTCTGTGATGATTAATGATGTTGAGCATTTTTCATATACCTGTTGGTGTATTGTCTTTTGAGAAATGGCTATTCATGTCCTTTGCCCATTTTTTTTAGTGGGATTATTTGTTTTTTTCATGTTAAATTGTTTAGTTCATCAGTACATGGAACATTCTCTAGGATAGAACATATGTTAGGCCACAAAACAAGTCTCAACAAATCTGAAAAAATAGAAATCATGTAAAGTATCTTCTCAGACCACAATGGAATAAAACTGGAAATCAACACCAAGAGGAACTCTGGAAACTATACAGGTACATGGAAATTAAACAGCATGCTCCTGAATGACCACTGGGTCAATGAAAAAATTAAGGTGGAAATAAAAAAAAAACTTACTGAAACAAATGAAAATGGAAACACAATATACCAAAACCTGTGAGATACAGCAAAAGCATGCTAAGAGGGTATTTGATAGCAATAAATGCCTACATCAAAAAAGTAGAAAGACTACCAATTAATAATCCAATGCACCTCAAAGAACTAGGAAAGCAAGAAGAAACCAAACCCCAAATTAGCAGAAGAAAAATAATAAAGATCATAACTAAATGAAATAGCTAAAGTATTCTATGCATTAAGTTAATAGTACAAATTTAATAATTTGTCTCAGGGGGACAATAGGGCACATTTAACCTGATTTAGAGAACACTGTTTTTTTCCCAGAATTTTAATAGCATCTATTTTTATATGATCAAGGATATGCTGTTAGCAAGTCCTCCTTCGTTTTACCTGTTTCACCAGAATATTTCTCTAGTTGAAGCTCTTGTGTATTTTAAAAATACAGTGGGAACTATGCTTTTATATGCTCATCATTACATCCTCAATACTCAGTACAACAATGCCTGGCACATAGTATTAATAAATATTCAGTAATTATAAGAATTATAGAAATGAATATATAAATGATTTGTAATTCAAGCCTGCCCTCCTGTAAGTTATTTGGAGAATTATGAGGTTTACCTCATTAGAAAAAGTAGGCACAGCTAAATACTGGTTGGGGAAAAGAAGACTAATTTTGGAAACTTGGCTAGAGGAAGACATAGATGTTTGAAAAGGCACTTAAGTTCCCTGCACTATTTTTTGTTTGAAATGAGTCAGTGAGGGTGCTGTATTACAAACAGTACAAACATTTAAGGAGGCTGGTTGTTTTTATAGGCAAGGGAAATTCAGGGTTGTTGGACCTGGGTTTAACTGTTTTAACTCAGGCAGAAAGAAAAAATGAGAAAGAGAGCGAGAGAGTGTAAAGATTTCTATAGTTAAGTACTTAGGAGGAGGGAAAATATAGACAGACATAGATATATAAACTTGGATGAAACTCATTTACTATAATTTTTCACTGAAAAACTCTTTATGTAAATCAATGTATTTACAAGAGAAATCTTTTTTTTTGTTTGTTTTGAGACAGAGTCTTGCTCTGTCACCTGGGCTAGAGTGCCGTGGCATCATCCTAGCTCACAGCAACCTCAAACTCCTGGGCTTAAGTGATCTTCCTGCCTCAGCCTCCCCAGTAGCTGGGACTACAGATGCGCATGACTACGCCCGGCTAATTTTTTCTATTATTAGTAGAGACAGGGTTTCGCTCTTTCTCAGGCTGGTCTCAAACTCCTGACCTCAAGCCATCCTCTCGCCTCTGCCTCCCAGAGTGCTAGGATTACACGTGTGAGCCACTGTGCCTGACCAAGAGAAATCTTTAAGCTTAAAAATTGAGAGATATTTGGAGATTAAGTAGACCTATTAAAAAGAAAGATACCTTGAGCATGTATGTGTTCCACAGATATTTTACATCCTCCTTACCAATATAGTACTATGCCCAATTTTTAGAAGATATGTTTGTTCCTGAGTTCAAAATAGTAAACAGAAGAAATACGAATAATGTAAAAATTAAACTGAAACACAACTTGCAACTGAACTAAATTTCTTTTAAAAACTACCTCACCATTTTTCATTTAAAGAAAACTGGCAAGACAGTGTCTTTAATAAATTGCAATAACTAGTTCATTGTAAGATTTTTTTCTAAAGCTTTACTGCCCCCAAGTCCATTTTTTAGTGACATTTTGTAGGACCTTCAGCTAATGAATCTTCCCTGAGTGGGACTAAGAATCTGAATTCCTCTAGCCCTGACTCCCTGGAGTGGATGCAAGCCCTGTCGAAGAGAAGATGAATAGTTGAGTCTTTTCTTTTCACATGTGTTTTCCAGTGTGAGGAAGAAATATACAATAAGTACCTGTGTTAGAAATCTAAATATGTAAAATATGGTGGTGTTTAAAAGTCTAATGTGTCATGTCTGTTCTCAAAGTAGAAAAACTTTGTAACAACATAATAGAACATCCTCAGTATGATTTCTGACAACCTATTTTTCTGTTGCTCAGTGCTACCCTCAAATATACTATGTAATATCTAATATATGGAAGCTTTTGGAAAATCCTGGGTATGGGTTTGAAGTGAATGATCTGCCGCCTGCTGTTTTTGTCCTTAACTTGCTGTGGATTTTCAGAATGTTTGACCAGCGTAGGCTCTTTTCCTCCTGTCAGGTTCTCTGTTACTGCTGCATAGTGCTGGCTCAATGCATGACATACTAAGGATCTGGTTGGCGTCACTAACAAGACTCTAGAGCTGTGCTGTCTGGTGTTCTGTTGAGCACTTGAAATATGACTAGTGCAACTCAGGAAGTGAATTTTTAATTTGTGTTTAATTTTGATTTGTATTCAAATAGCTACATGGCACTAATGGCCACCATATTGGACAACGAAGATATGGAACATTTCCATCATCACAGGAGGTTCTCTTGGACAGCACTGCTCTAGAGATCTCATTCTAAGATGCCTTGTTGGCCTGGCACAAATCTCTGAACAAGTCGACTGTTTGCCCAGCATCCTAATTTATCAAATGGAGATGGAGTACGGATGCCCTTTAGTTGCCAAGAATATTAATATGTGAACAAAATCACTGTGCAGAGCTTTGTTTCCTAAGGAAAAAACAGCTTTAAATAGTACTGTAGAAAATAGCTGATGGCATTTCTTAGAGTAATAACTGTTAAAAGATACCTAGTAACTGCTAGCAGAGTTGTTTGTTGATTGAGAAAACTTATGCTAATGTATCTTTGAAGGATTTATAATCTATCTCCTTTCCTATTTAGGTACTTAAAGCTTTCACCAAAACACCCAGAGTCAAATACTGCTGGAATGGACATCTTTGCCAAATTCTCTGCATATATCAAGAATTCAAGGCCAGAGGCTAATGAAGGTAAAATACAAAAAATTGAATTACCACTGCAAAAAAACCCCAAACAGCAACAAAAACCTATTATTAATGACAGTGATTATAAACCAGTACTTTTTAAGTGTTCCTATAAATATTAAAAACTGTCTTTCAGAGTCGATCAGAAATTTGATAATAAACTGGAGTAAGTCCTCAAATTGCTGTTTCTCTATGTTTCTTCTAGTGGCACAGTGCCTAGCATATAGTGGGTTAGTGATAAAATGTTTATTGAATGAAATTGTTCTCATAGTCTTTTGAGAAGTTACTGTGAAGATTTAACAGTACATCAGAACAATGGATTATGTGGTTATGGTGACTTGGAATAGATTGATGGAGCTTAACTTAAACTATTATGAAATCTTTTGTTTACTGTTTGATGCCTAAAATCAGCCTGAGTGGTTTTTTTGTGCTAATTACCCTTAAAGAACAATTTTTGGAGTTGCTTTAAGAGAGTAATTAGACTCTCACTAGGCTTCCAAATTTCTCTGCATCCTAAAACTAGAATTTTATTTTCACGTCATATTTTAATGATGAGAATTATTTAGGTAGTACAGATGTAATTTTATTTATTAAAGGCACTATCTAATCATTTCATTTACCAAGCATATATATAGTGAAAGGAAATCTCTTTGAAAGAGGTTCCATTTAATGAACTGTGTCTTAACTACAGCATTCAGTAATTTCCCTTTCTCTTTTCTTTGGGATGTTAAGCATTGTTCTCTCTGGGGAAAACTGTATAGAGAACCTTAGTGTTTATTTAAAAGTAACAACAATAACCAATAAAGCTAGCTCCAAAAAATATTGTAATTCATCATAGTTTTAGATAGTTTGGTAGCTTGAGTATGGTTCTTTTGACTGAAAGTTTATGGCAGCAAATGAACAAGAATACCAAAGGGGAAAAATCAGTGCTGGTTAAGCAAGAATAAATATCTTTTAAAAAGTGAAATACTTGCTGATTTCCCTACATTATTTCAGCAGGAAGATTTCCAAGCTATTCGGGCTATTTTGTATTATTAAATTTAAAAATTGCAGCATTTTATAATGTAGTATTGAATTTCAGTGTCTTTTGCTCTTGGTTTCTGCAATAATAGTCACTGCACGAAATATTTTTTCTACAGCGAAGGGAAGAAAGGGGAAAATTTTAGTACTCAGGCCTGGCTTATATCTATTAATAATGTGTTCCAGTAGCTGCCTTAGTTTGGAAGCAGTTTTCTTTAGTCAGAAAAAAAAGCCAATTACTAATGTTTCTGTCTAAGCAATTTACACACTAAGTAAACGGTTATATTGAAGCCCTCCTTTCCACAATGTCTTTTCTGTTCTACCCTTCCTTCATGCAGGCTAACTGTACTTTTCATGAAACTATCCTTTTCTCTCCAGATTCTCTTGCTGCCTAGTTCTTCGAGTAATCTTAGTTAAAGTTATAATGTTTTTATTTCTCTGTGTGGCTTTTGGGAACTGGAAGGTGGTTGAATTTCTTCTAACACTTGGTGGGGAGGAGAGGGGAATACAATGTGTTTGCTTTTGCTTTGGGAGATGAGGGAAGAAAAGGGAAAAAGTGACTCATTTAAGTATAACTTTGTATTCTGTTTTTTTCCTATCAATTTGTTACTGTCTTAAGTAGCCACCTACTATTAACTGTCCTCAGAATGTTACAACCAGTAAGAACAAACAACATAGTGCATAACCTGGAAGGCTTTTATATTAAATTACCTATTGGTAAATAAAAATTCCAGTTGCTAAGCAACTTCCTTCCACAGGGACCGGTCACTGCCACGAGACTTTAGAAAGCAGTGTTCCAAATCACTTTGAAGCTTAATGGATCTCTCCTCATGTATGTTTGTTGCAGGTCTCATCTGTTTGGTGCGATTAAATGCCTTTAATAATGCTAGGAAATTAGTCATTCACCTCCTTATTTCCCCAAACATCCACTCAAATATTGACAGTTTACACAGAGATGGATTTGCCATTTTACATGGTAAATCAGAGTAGACAAGTCTTTGATTAGTTTTTCCAGCCTATTATATATTTTACAAAATCCAGTATGTTTGGAAAATTTTAATACCTTTTAGGACCTAATTCTAAGTAAGGGATTAGATGCCTAGTTGCTACAGTTCGGGACTAGTGAAAGTGAAACTGAAGGGCCAATGCTTAGATTGGGGTATAAAGTAAATAAGATTTAAAGAATAAGGCCAGGCACGGTGATTCACACCTGTAATCCTAGCACTCTGGGAGGCCAAGGTGGGTGGATCGCTCAAGGTCAGGAGTTCGAGACCAGCCTGAGCAAGAGCGAGACCCCGTCTCTACTAAAAGTAGAAAGAAATTATCTGGACAACTAAAAATATATATTTATAGAAAAAATTAGCCGGGCATAGTGGCGCATGCCTGTAGTCCCAGCTACTCGGGAGGCTGAGGCAGTAGGATCACTTGAGCCCAGGAGTTTGAGGTTGCTGTGAGCTAGGCTGAAGCCACGGCACTCTAGCCCAGGCAACAGAGTGAGACTGTCTCAAAAAAAAAAAAAAAAAAAAAAAGATTTAAAAAATAAAATAAAAGGAAACATTGATGATAGATAAGATATGTAATTCTTTTAGTAACATGTTGAGGTTGGGAGTAAAACTTTGTGTAACCTTTTAGGCATTAAAAGAGAAACCAATGGGTAATTCCTTTTATGAGAATGAATTAGGTATAATCTGTCCAAGATCTTCTGTTTTTTCAGTCCTATGATATTATTAATTTATATAATTTACTAAGATATCAAATGAAACTAGTCTGGTATTTGTAATATTCTTTAGAGAGAAATGAATTTAGCATCGTTGAATGTACTCTGAGGCATATTTCATAATGTCCAAGTTCCTGTGTTTAAGTGGAGGCAAGGAATCTGGAGGTTCTGATTAGCTCCTTTTTATTCAGGATCCTCTCTTCTCCTTTCCCTCTCCCCTCTCCCCATCCCTCCTTCTCCCTCTTTTTCTCACTTGCTCTCTTGCTTTCTCTCAGGAAAAGTGTTGGGAGTCAGAGGATGGTGGTTGATCATTGTAGCTATGAAACTGCGTTGTATATTTAATCATCTCGAAATGCCCATTACCTCTCTCCATTTCCAATGATGGAAACCTAGCCTTTAAGACTTGTCTGTATAAGATTACCTTTTATTAAAACTAGCAGTAACTTTAAAATACAGTTTTAGCCATGTAAATGCTTGTAATATTTGTTGTCTTCATCATGAATTGTATCATTTTTCACTGACAGAAATACTGTTGTTACATTTAATGTTTTCTGCCTTGAATTTTACTCATTCAAATCATTGAAGTAATAGAGATACATGCTTGTTGAAGTTAAAATAGTATAGAAATAAATTTAATAAAACTTCATTGCCCCTCCTTAATCACATTATGTGACCTCTTCTCCAACAATTTAGTGTGCATCTTTTTTCTATGTAATTTGCAAACATTTTATGTAAATGTGTATTATGTACTATTCACATGAAGTTGTCTTTTCACATGTGGTAGAAATCCTTCCATATCAAAACATAGATCTACCTGAATTTTTAGAAATTCTGCTTAGTATTCTATAATATGGGTTTTTATTGAGCCATTTCCCTGTTGATAGACATCTAGATTGTCTCAAGCTTTTTACTGTGACAAATAATGCTGCCAGTGAATGTCCTTGAGGTAGATTCCAAATAAATCAAAAGATTTGTGCATTTTAAATTTTTCTCTGTTTTTGTCCAGTTGTTCTCAAAATCTACACCAGTTTCATATTCCCACTAATATAATAGTGTTCATTTCCTCACACTCTGACTCTGGTGAATATGTGTGAATCGTTTTAATTTTGTTGTATTCTCGTAGGCAAAAAAGGGTGTTTTGATTTTCATAATTAATTTTAAACTAATTGTGTCACCTCTGTTGCATTTATTAATTTTTTTAGAGCTTTTTAGAGAGATCAGCATCACTACAGCAGGGGTATTGGAGAATAATAGTGCTACTTAATAGTTACGAATGACAAAGAGCTACTTTCTAATGGCCTGCTACTGCCTTCTAGTGGTTAATCTTGACATTTTCTTTCTTTATTTTAACTAACCTTATACTCCTTTACCAGTCTTTAAAACTTTGTTTATTGAATGGTGCTGTTTAGTACCACTTGGTACCTCTGATTTTGTTTTATTTGCCATACTTTATGCCGATATATAAAAATTGTATCAAACCAATTCATCATTCTTTGTTTTTATTAATATATTCTTTATTCTGACATTCTCTCTCTCTCTTTTTTTTTCTGAGACAGAGTCTTGCTCTGTCGCCTGGGCTAGAGTGCCATGACGTCAGCCTAGTTCACAGCAACCTCAAACTCCTGGGCTCAAGCAATCCTCTTGCCTCAGCCTCCCAAGTAGCTGGGACTACAGGCATGTGCCACCACACCCGGCTAATTTTCTATTTTTTGGTAGAGATGGAGTCTCACTCTTGTTCAGGCTGGTCTTGAACTCCTGACTTCAAGTGATCCTCCTGCCTTGGCCTCCTAGAGTGCTAGGATTATAGGCGTGAGCTACCGCACCTGGCCTTTATTCTGACATTCTTAACTATGAAAAATCACTAATATACTAGTCAGGTATTGCAGCTTAACTTCATTGAAAGTGCTTTGCTAAGTCAAGAATTATAGAAAGAACAGTAATTATATAATGTCCTAGCTTCTTAATTTTCATCAGCGTGGTGCCTTATGTCTAGGGGTATAAACATTATGTTATAAACACTGTAAATTTGGGATATTTTATTTTTATATTAATATATTTGAGAAGTAATTCAGGAAAAGGATTAATTTGGGTCAGGTCCAAGATCATAAACTTACTCATACTTGCCATATCACTCAAGTAGCATTTGAGACATTATTTCAGTGTTTGAATTCAGGGAACATTATCTTCCTCAGAGACTATGGTTCTGTTCATTATAATCTGATCAAAGAACAAGTCCTTGTATTCTAATAAATATTTATTCTGTGTTCAC